TAGAAGAAGAGAAATCGTGCCTAGTTCTTACAACCGCTTCCCATTTGGCAGCGGTTCTCAACCCTTCCTCTTCCTGGTAATCCTTCCACCTCCAGCCTTTTATCTAATCATGTGGTGTCTACACTCTGGATAGAGTCTGGTCAGCCAGAAAACAGTAAGCATTGCCTTCTGGAGCTTGGACACTCCACCCCTGGCATCCCCACATACTTCTGCCCTTGTAGGGAAAGTTGCCTCCCTTCCTTGGACATTTGAGCCGATATCCCCTGGTGAGATCTGTGGTCACCATGGACATTGGGGCCAGCTCAGCTCAGAGCCTCAGCTGGGGAACAGGTTTAATGAGCCTCTCACTGGCTCACCTCCAACAGCAGGCAAACTGGGTCTGGGAGCACATGACCCAACCTTACCTGGAAATGGATTTCCTGCCTTTTCTCCCCTCCTGAGAAAACAAGACACCAGCAACAATTCACTGACCACATTTGGATGTGTGTGGCTTAGTGAGGAAAAGAGATGTGGGACACCAGCTCTGACTTCAGGAACCACACAGCTTTGTAGGGAAAGAGGATACAGAATGGGCAGTCAGAGAAGACCTTTTACAGAGGAGATGGGGCCACAGCTAGGTCTTAATGGACAGAAGAAAAATCAACTGATGATAAAAGTAAGGCAGTGCACTAGGATGGAAAGGAGAAATGCAGAAGTCAAAGTATCTAAGATGGACCTGGGGGAAAAAACATACTGTGGTCTAAGTATAGACTATGTATGTGAACATTGAGAGAAAATCTTGCAAAAGTAAACTGGACCCATGTTGAGATGCCAGCTATAGAAGCTGGGCTTCCTCTAGGATGGTATCTGCCAAAGGCTCTTGAACCAGAGATGGAGATGTTTGAAGTGGCTGATGATTTGGTTTCTGATCTGGCGAAGCTGGATAGATGAATGCATACTCTGCTGTGACCCAGGAGGACAAAGCTTCATGATATCTGGGGAAGATAAAACCCCTCCATGAAGTAGTCCAGGGAATACAGAGAAGCACCTAGCTGGCCTAGAAGATTGCCTTCAGGTAATTTTTCCAATGGCCCTTCCTACGGGGATAAAGACAGAGAGAACAGTGAACTATACATATGAAGGAGACCTATATGTGGGACCCTTTTGCTTACAAATTATTAAGAATTTCAAGGTGGCAACACTAAACCAAACATGAGACCCTTCTAAGCATAGAATCCTGTGCAACTTTACAGGTTGGATGCCCATGATGTTATCTCTGAAGACAAAGATGAGGGCAAGTTCTTACCCAAATGCATGCAATGGGTATGCAAGTGGTTCCCACATTCAGAAGGCCCACAGGCAGTCATTTCTCTCTCTTTCCTGGGCAGGTGATAGCCCAGCATTCTAGCCCAGGCAGTCAACTTATAGCTGTTAGCTTCATGAAAAGAACAGTAGACGAGGACAGGATATCTGAGTTCTAATCCTGGTTTTGCTTCAAGATTGATGTGAGTCATTTTTATACCTTAGTTTTGTGGCTTATATTAAGTGTTCAGTAAGTATTGCTTTTCTTTCCTTCCATATAGAAATCCCAATTGTAGGATCTCTACCATATGGCTTCTTGCCAGAGTATTTGAAAGAAGATACAGGTGCCAATGATCAGTCTGGGGTTGTAGAAAAATCTCAGTGAAATGCATTTTTATTTCAGAGCAAACTCCTAATACCATTCTGTATCCTAATACCTTACAACCTCACTAGAAAAGTCACCATTAGCCATTCTCTGACAAAGATATAATTTAAGAGACTTCAGGCCTTTCCTTAGCTGTTCTGCAAGTTTTCTGTAGAACCACAAGCAACTGATTTCCTCTCCTTATGTCTCAGTTACCCTTCTGTAAAATGTGAGAATTGACAAGGCGATCTCCAAAATCCTGGTCCAGCAATTGTCATCACCTGGTGTTGAGATGAACTTATCTGTCTGCATCAATAGAAAGTAGCCTCACTGAGACCAAGAATGATTGCAATCCATCTCTGAATCTCTATTTCCTGGCACAGCACCTTGCACTCAATTATGTGTTGAGCTATCAATGGATGGACAAGATTGCCCAGAGAGAAACTTAAAACGAATGAGCCAAGGAAGTGAAAACAGAGATATAATCAGAAGAAGCAGAATAATGTGCAAAGGGAAGAAAGAGAATCAGGTCAACGTCGTATTAAGGGAGATTGAGTACTGGGTGACCAACATTTCAAATAATGCAAAGGAAATATAAAATTTTAGGTTAAAAAAAAACACCACGGGGTGTTATTCTGTATGTTGGTAAATTGAACACCAATAAAAATTAATTTATTAAAAAAATAAATAAATAAAAATAAAAAAAAACACCACGGACAACTGGGACTGGGTTGCACAGTTGATTAGGTGTCTGACTCTTGATTTTGGCTCAGGTCTGATCTCAGGTGGTGAGATCAAGCCCCGAGTCAGGTTCTGCACAAAGTCTGCTAAGGATTCTCTCTCCCTCTCCCTCTGCCCCTCCTGCTCATGCTCTCTCTCTCTCTCTCTCAAATAAATAAATAAATAAACTCTTTTTTAAGGTACCAAACTTCATAATTAAGATGTCATTGGTGTCTTCTGAAAGAATCAGGCAGCCAAAAGTTAAGAAGTGGGGGAGTCATGAAGTGTGGACAGCAAGCATAAAGGAATCAAGAAATTTAGTGGAAGCACAGAGAAAGATAAGAAGGTCTCTATGCATGTGACAACATTGAAAGAAGAATTACTGCTTGTTTATTGGTTTCTTCATTTTAGGAAAAAGAGAAGGAAAGAGAGCCAACATATTTGTTAACGAAGAGGAAGGAGTGAAGGAGAGAGACTAAAGATTTTAGAGAAGGGTAGAAGAGGCCATTGATGAATTGACATCTTGGAGGAGTCTTCTGACTCTCTTCTGAGAGGACTAAAAGCATAACCTCTTCAACTCCACCACCTACACATCTAGCAGGTGCATCACCAGGGGCTATAGAGGAAGTCTCAATATCAGGAGGGGGTTGGGCAACCCAACTACTAAGAGTCCTTTCCACCAATTCTGTGACCACCGTGTCCATCCATCCTTATGTGCCATGTGACCCACAAGCAGATAATAGCAGACAATGTGAAAAAAATCTTTGCAATATGGCCCAGTGCCTGAAGTATTTCTTGATCTACCAATGCCAGTAACTGATCAAAGAGGAAATATGAGCCCTTGGAGACAAACTCTATCTGCTTTGGAATGTGCCCCAAGGAGGAAGAGTGGCATCACAGAAAAAGAACCAGATTGAGGGTCAGGAGTTTGGATCTAGTCTCTCCTTGTAATTCCTTATGTGCCCTGGTGTTTTTGACACACGCTTTCTTCTCTGAGTTGGTTTTTCTTGGAAAACGGGAGGTCAAGATAGAAGATTGATGTATTTATATGTGTTCTGACTCTTGAAAGCTACAGAATCATCCTGAAAGAGTTGGCACTTGCCTCCATGGTTCTTGGGCAGCTCTGTGTTCAATGTGGCCTCTGTGATACAAGGAACAAAAGTGAGGCTACAGTAAGTAAGCCCTCTTTGGCAATTCACAATGACATCACCACAGAGCTCAGAGTATTTCCAACAGCTCCAACAGGAAAATCCACATGTTTGTCAATGACATTCTGGACTTTCTTGTTTGGGCTGTGCCACCAGCGTGACTGAATCCTGTTTAGCAAAAGAAGGGTCATGTCTGTCCATGTGCTGATGACACTAATGAAATTCAGCATTGCCTTGGGGGACTGAGTTCCAGACTGAATTCCAAGTTCTGAATTCAAAACTCGGTTTGTACTTTGTTGACCAATCTCCACTAGGATTAAAGGGAGGTGGATGTATCTTTGTCATCAAATATATCATGATAATTAGCCATCTGTTAATTCATCTAAAATACATGGTGCAACTGCTTTATTTATTAAATGTATGTGTATTGGATGGATTGATGGATGGATGGATCATGGATGGATGGATAGGCTGATGATAGATGAATGGATGGATGGATGGCCGGATGGATGGATGGGTTATGGGTGGATGATGGATAATGGATGGGTGATAGATTGATGGATGATGGTTGAGAAGACCCAGGATCTGGTTCACAATATTACTCACCAGATAGGCATATGAGCCAGAATTTTTTCAGTTACAAGTGACAGAAAACTCAATCTAAGTAGTTTAAGAGGAAATTTTTTAAAAGAAATGTGTTGACTTACATATCTGAGAAATTATCAAGAGTAGCAATGTCCCACTTGTTTTGCAGTTCTGGTTTCTTGTGTTTGAGCTTCAACTTTAAATGGTCTTTCCCCCATCTGGTAGCCAGTTTCACAATCAGCAGCTTCATGCTTATATTCTTCTAGCTTCACAGTCCCAACGGAAAGAGTGCCATTCCCCCAAGAGTTCTACAAGAAGTCCTTAAGAGGGTCTTCACTGGCCCACGTTGGGTCACCTAGTCATCCCTGAGCAAATCCTGTGGCCAGGAGGCTGCAGCTCTCTGATTCGCTGGGTCTGAGTCTAGAGGTGATGGCAGCTCCAATGAAACACATAGACTGAGAGAGAAAACAAGGTGGCATTCCCAGAAGAGAAGGGAATGGACACTGGGCCGGCAAAACCCAGGAATATGCCCTCTCACTAGATAACTATGCTCCCCTGATTGTCCTCACCGCACAGGCTTCATGTAATGTGAAAGCCCTTTGACAAGGTGGGCGGCTATTCTTTTCACTCATCATTTATGAGTAACCACCATGGCTCCTCCTCCCTCTTGAAGCCTTCCCCGGCATCTTGGCCTCCAGGTTCCTTCCTTTTCTGATCTAGGCCATGTAACCTTTCATGCCATCCAATGTAACAACTAATCATCAAGTGTATCTGGAGCAGTAAAAAGTACCTACAATTTCATCAGGCCCAACAAGAAATATGGCCATGAATAAGACTGTCTCTCCACATGGGAAACTCCCAATCTAGTCAGTGATAAATCTCTTTGCATTGTTCTCTAATAGCTCTTGTGTATAAATCTAATCTCTACAACAAACTGCCGGCTCCTTGTGAGCAAGGCCATGCCTCCTCCTTCTCTCAGGTCATTCATATCCCTCCAGGTTGCATCATCCTGAGAGTAACTTCATGGGCCCTTGAAGCTCCCATCAGCCAGGTCAGTCCTCCGCCTTGATGCCTCATACCATGTGCCTTGCTTCCCACACCATCTCGCTCTGGGGTCCTTGGCCACCGCATCACTGGCACCCTTATCCCCAGCTTAACAGTGTCTTCTGTCTTTGGCTTCTAAAGTCATTGGAGTCACGTGGCCCTGGCTGTCCTTTGGATCTAGCCATCCACAAGCTGAGGAAGCAAGCTGACCGTCCTGCAAGGCTAGAAATAGTGTGACAGCTTCATGATCTGCTCTGTTGGTCACCAAATATGTGCTGAGCATCCACTTCTCTGTGCCCAGAACATGTGCTGAGGAAACTGGTGAACAGGCAGGCAGGGTTCTGCCCTCCAGGATCTCACAGACCAGAAGGAAAGACTGTAGGCCCCTCACCCAACCCTGGGACAGTGAAGCTTCTTGTCATCCGCAGTGATCTCTTCTATCTATTCATTGGAATGGGGATGAAAGGAACTTGGGACAAGTACCACAGTGGCTTGGTTATGGTGCAGGGGACTGCGGAGGGAAGGAGAGGAGTGGTCCTTGTGGGGAACTGCTCAAAACAGTCCTTCTATGTCATTCATCAGTCAGGTCCCTGGACTTAGCATATGGACCCAGACTCATCCTCTCTCCTCCAACTGCCAGGGAGGTGTTGGGGCAGCAGCTGGCCACATGCTGGGGCATCTTAGCTTTGGCTTCAGCCATTCATTTAAGACAGCCAATCAGGGCTCTCCTGGGAGGTTCCTGGACCCCTTGCTTGCACCAGTGTGCCCAAACCTGCAATGGGTACACTCTGAGACCTTGCTTCTTCCATCACTGAGCACAGGCCTGTGTGCTGGGGATCAGCCTAAAGGACACCTGATGAAAAAGTCTAAAGTGAAATGAAGCATATCAAATTGAACCAAACCAAACTGAATGGCCCTCTCTTAGGCACTCACAGATAGAAGGTGATCTTTTAAGAAAGAGGAACATTCCCTGATCCATCTGCTCTTCACTGAATAGCCCTTGAATTCCGTCTGAAAGTGAACATTTCTTTTGCATGTGTCTCTTCTCTCCTTTGAACTCAGAGGTGAAATTGCTCCCAGGATCTCAGTCCCCTTCTCTCTGCCCCCATCTCTTCTTTCTTTTCCTTCCTTCCTTCCTTCCTTCCTTCTTTCCTTCCTTCTTCTTTTCTTTTTTTTTTTTTTTAAAGATTTCATTTATCTATTTGGGAGAGAGAGAGAGAGAGGGAGGGAGGGAGCACAAGCAGGGGGAAGGCCAGAGGGAGAAGCAGACTCCCTGCTGAACAGGGAGCCCCATTAAGGCCGGATCCCAGGCCCCTGGGATCATGACCTGAGCTGAAGTCATACACAACCAATTGAGCCACCCAGGCGCCCCTCACCTCTTCTTTCTGACATTAAAATCAGTCCCTGCCTTTCATATCCACATGGGAGGGGGTGGGGCTCCACTAATGAATGTTTGAGAAGCCCTTTGAGATCTTGGATGAAAGGCACCTTATAAAATACAATTAAAAATAATAGGGGTAATTACTAGCTGGGTTAGTCCCTGTAGGTTAATTAGAGAGTTTTCTTCTGGCAGATTCTGAATCTGTGCAGAAACACACGGGTTCAAAAGGCAAAACAGATTTGAGATGTCAAGGGCCACTGTTATGCTTCTTCCATTCCAGGATCACGCACTGGCATCTTTTTTTTGAAATTGGAGGAGCATCGCAGCAGTCCAGAGCTGGAAAAGATCTTTCAGATAATCTGTCCAACTTTCTTGGTTTGCTGATGAAGCTAGTGAGGCCCAGAGGGGTGATGTGACTGGCTCAAAGTTGCACAGCAAGTGTAACACAACCTCAGCTCTGGAAGTCCAGTCCCTGGACACCCCAGTTGGGGTCGTGGAGGGGACCTCTGTCACCACTCCTAATCAATGATGTACTTTATCCAACCTGTGCGTACTGGTGACCTTCTATTGCATAGTAGAGCATTGCAAAAGAGTCAGACAAAGCTGAGTTAAAATCCTAGCTCTGATACAGTGCCTAGTGAGTGAGCCTCAGTTTCCTCATGTGTAAAATGGGGTAATAGTACCTGCCTCAGAGGGTTGCTGGGAAGAACCAATGAGCAATGTATGCCAAAGCACCTGGCATGGAGCATGTATTCAGTCAATGCTGCTTGAATGAGCGCTGCAAGAATGAGTCTTGGCATTGCTAGGGTTTGACCTACAGTCCTTGCTTTACACACCTAAGTTCAGCCTATATTTAATGAGCCCCTATTACGTGCTGAACACTGGGCTAAGCTCTTCAGGACTTTATTTCATTTAATCACCATGATATCCCCTTGAGGTTAGTTTTGTGCACCTGAGGATCAGAGAGGTTAGCTAAGTCATCCAAGGCCATGTAGCTGAAGAAGGGGCAGGAATTGAACCCATGCTGTCTGCCACAATGAACACTGCCTACCATTGTGAAAAGAAGCATGACCATTGTCATGACCACAATGGAGCCCCCAAAGGATTTTCTGCTGTGATACTGGAGACAAGTGATGGAGGACATCAGGGAACAGGTTTAACCTAAGATATCCATTGAAGCATTTTTGCTTTTTTTTTATGCCCCACTTCACGTATCCTAGGCTCACCTTTTAAATTTAGCCAATACTGTGGTAACCCAGCTGTACAACAGGTGCACAGAATACCTCTTGCTTTCTGACAGCTACTACTGTGCGATCCTGGGCAATTCCTCAACCTCTTTGTGTCCCAGTTTAATTATCTGGAAAAAAGGGTGGTAATGGCACTCACTTCATATGGTGGTAGTGAGGATTATATGAGTTAATAAATGTAGGGTATGTATAACAGGACCTGGCACAGCGTAAGAATCATAAAAAAGATAGACATTGCTATTGTTATAATTGTCATTATTATTTCATTTTTCTTCTTATGCTATCTGGGGCTGCTTGCTAGAAGAGGAAGACTGGGCTTCCTAGCTCTGAGTCTGCTAAATTGGAAGCTAACTCGCCATGATTGGGAGTTGACTTCAGCCCTCAGGCCTCAGGAGTGGGAGGAGTGGGGCAGGAAGGACAAGAATCCCGTTTACTGAAGGTGCAGGAGCTCAGGGAATTCTCACAACACCTCAGGGAGAAGGTGTTCTTACTACCTCCTTTTTAGATGTGAGGAAATTAAGGCTGAGAGAGGTTGGAAGACTTGCCTGAGGTCACGTGGCCAGGAGTGGCGACCAGATGTGACCCACGGAGCCTGGGCCTGCTACCTGGGGCTACCATGTGAGGCTGCAGAGGTGGTGAAGGGAAGGGCATGTTTCTATTGTTACCTGATTGATACTCTTTGGAAAGAAGAGGGAAGTCACAGGGAGGTGCCTCCCAGTCCCCTTACCTGCCCACAAATGCCACAGGGGATCACCTGTCAGGCTCTAAGAGGAAGGGGGGCGCTTAGTACTCCTTCCTAGAGTACAACCTGGGCTCCAGGTGAGGTGGGCGGGAAGCAGAGGGTCTTTGGAAAGGGCACTGGGCCAGGAATCAGGACCTGGATTTCAGGGCAGGCTCCCTGGGCAAATTCTGACACCCAAAACAGGGCCTGCCAGGCAATGGGTGCTCCATGGTTATGATCAAATGAATGAATGAACCAATGAATGACTAACAGGGTCCCTGCTCTCAGAGGGTTTCCAACCTGGAGAACATGCTCATAAGTGTCCCTATAGAGCAGCCTGTGCTGTGTCAAACCTATAAGGCAGACCACAGGGGTTGTGGGTTCAGCTCTGGGAAATTGCCCCTGTGAACTGGGATCTATTCCAACAGGGGAACCTGACTGGGCCAAAAGGCTAAGGAGACTTCCGGGAGGCAGAGGAGGGGAAGAGCACAGACCATGCAGCCTGTACGCAGAGGCACAGAGGCTGGGGCAGTTTAGTATTTGGAACGCATGTGAGACAGAGTGCGATCCTTCTATCCTGCAGCATAGTCTGCTCTAGCCCCTTCCTTCCATTCTCCCAAAGTGTAGCTCCCAACTGTGCAGCTATCTGGAAATCGGGCATGTGCCCAGCTCCCCAGCGCTGGTTTTCTGAAGTTTGGCCTCATACAAGGAGCTGGTTTAAAACAGAGGTCTGGGGATGCCGGGGTGGCTCAGTGGTTGAGCGTCTGCCTTCAACTTAGGTCGTGATCCCGGGGTCCTGGGATCGAGTCCTGCATTAGTCTCCCTACAGGGAGCCTGCTTCTCCCTCTGCCTGCGTCTCTGCCTCTCTCTGTGTCTCTCGTGAATGAATAAATAAAATCTTTTAAAAAATAAAATAAAACAAAACAGAGATCCGTCAACTCCCAGGCCCCAAGGTTCTTCTCCATCCAGCAACTGTAACAAGGCCTGGGACCAACCCAGCCCTCAGGGAGCTGCAGGTTTAAACCGAAGCCAGGTCTGGGCCTGGACCTCTGTCCTCCTTGGCTGCCCAACCCAACCCGGGTGTTTACACATACCCTCCCCACTCCCTGGCAGCAAGGCCCACTGCCTCTCCCTGTTCCCTCCTGGCAAAATGCCACTACCTCTCCCCACCCCGCCCTGGCCAAACACCAGCAGCTGAAGCTGGAGAAAACCAGACCAGCAGGCCTCACCAGGTGACAGCCAGGAAGAAGAGGGTGACATGGAGGTCACTGGGGTTCCCTGAAGCCAGAAAGACACAGAGAGGAGCTGGTGTCTGCTGCAAGCTAAAGAGCAGCGCTTCTTGCCCTGTTTTGCTCCCCAACAAATGTTCCTGTGAGAGTTAAGAGAGTTATTGTAGCTATAATGATCCTTTACATTTTTATAGGGCTTTATTAGTTCACAGCCCCTGCTTACATGAGGTATCTACTCTCATAGAGATGCCAGCGACAGGAGTGGAAATACGGTTCACCCTCAGTCACACAAAGGCAGCTGGAAGGGCCTGGGCCAGTCCCCCAGAGCTCGCCTTGGCCTATGTGTGCTGAGTAGCTTCAGACCCTAAGGGTCTGGGGAACTGGGAGGTCAAGACCAAGCTTCAGAGGCCTTGTGGGATTCCAGGGAAGGAGAGTGAGGATCCTGATGACCACGATGAGCATTTCTTGACAGTCTTAGAGCTCCTCCCACATGTCAAGCCCTCACTTGTGTCTTTGAGTAAGCACCTCACAACAACTCTGTGGGCAGACATCAACCACCATTTCACTGAGGTAACTGAGGGTTAGTGAGATGAAGCAATTTAACCGTTAGTAAGGGTCAGGTCGTTAGTAATCCTGTTGGAACTGGGATTTAAGACCAGGAATGACCATTCCAGAGCTTGGTCTCATAGACCCTGCCCTACACTGCCCCACCCTGTGAATAACCATCCAGAAATAACATGGCTCCCCTTCCCTCTTCCAATTTTAGGTTGGACCTCTTCCCCAGCTTCAGGGCCCGGGCCTCCTGCTGGCCAGCCAAGGGTTACAGGATCCCCACAGTAATCACTGACTACCACCTAGTGGCGCCACGTGGAATGTCGCATTCCTATCCCTCCATCTGAGTTTCCTGACGTTCCCGCCTTCTTACTCCCAGGGCCTACAACCACGCTGGGCACAAAGTAGACATGCGATAAACTCTTGGTGAGTGCACGTAAGCCATCCTTAGAGGAAAAAGAAATATCAACTAGGAAAACAAGAGCATTGGCCGTCCCAACTTTTTTAGTTCTAGAAACTTCCCCAGGCCCATATTTCATGTTTCCTGACAGCAGATCTGAAGGAACGAAGAACCAGACGGAGAAAGAGGTTGGCTTTCCTCAGACGAAAATGGCTGCGGGCTTCCCTGACCACACAGCCGCTAGGAGCCCCGGGACTCCTATCTCCATGATCCTCTGATCTTCTGAAGAACTAGCCCTTGTCTGAGCAAGAGCAGTTTGACCTCATGAGGCGGAGGAATGGAAAGGAAAGAATTCAATAGCTTTTGCTTTCCGTCTCCTCTACTCCAGTAGAAAGTGAGCTCAGAGCTGCCCACAGGCAGGAAGTCCTTCCTGGAGCTCCTGACTCTAAAATGAACTTCCGGTCCTCTCGCTAGAGAGCCCTGTGGAAGTTGCTGCCTTATTTGGTGTCATCAAGGGCCTAAGAAGCCGGGTGATTCCCTATGCAAGGACTGTGGACACCCAGACGTGGAGGAGAGAAGCACAGCGCCCTCACTGGGGAGGCCCCTCCGTCCTGGCTCCTCTGCTCTCCCCGGATGGTTTCTCTTCCCTCTCTGAAGCCTTGGGACTGTTCTGTCCTCCATCCAGCCAGTTCAGGTTGACCTTGACCCATTTCCTCCAGCAGGCACCCCACCCCTGAGCCACCATAAGGCCGCCATTGTTCTGACGCTGCAGTCACAGTCCTCCAGCCCTGGTGGAGAGGAGGCAAGAGATTGGTGAGGCCCACCCTCAGTGGGGGTTTTATAAAAAGGATCCTGTAACCGGGTGACCGTCCTGTCCCCACTCCCAACTCCAGCTTATTCTGCTCCCACGTTCCTGGGTTCCCCTGTGATTCTCTGTGTCACAGTGTCCTGCTCCCCCATTCCTTCAGAACGCCGCTTCCCAAATGGGACCGTCACAGAGAAGTGAATCTAAGTCAACCACAGATGAGTTCTGTTTCCCACAAGAACTGGGCTTCTTAAATGTTGTGTATGCTTTAAAGCGGACTGTACCCTGTCAAATATTTTTTTATCTGCATCTTGTTTTGTTCTTCTATGGGCAAGTGTTTAAAGCCCCAAAGTTGGGCTTTAAAATTCTACCCCTCGAGTGACTTCGCAATCCTCACTTCTCCGAATCATTTTTTCAGTCTCGAATTCACTCATCCTTGCAGATCCAAATGCATACACTTAAATTTTTATTTTATTTTATTTATTTTTTTTTTTTGCTGAGTGTTGAGTCAGATACTGTCCCCGGCACTGCGACTCGAACACATGTTCATTATTCTCAAGGCACTCACAGTGCAATATGAGAGAAATATGTCCTCAGATGCTGAAAGTACTATGTGATCAGTGCTTTAATATGGGCATATTTGTGGCTGTGTGAGCAAAAAACGGGACCAAATTAAATTATTTTTAGCAAAATAGACATTATTGGTTCCAACTACTGAGAGGTGGCAAGACAACGTGGCTCCAGGCATAGTGGGACTCAGAGTTCAGATGATACCATCAAGATGTGCCCCCTGCCCCAGCCATCCCTCCCCACAACACCCCCCACATTGGTTTCATTGCATGTGCTTGGCTTTCAGCTCTGGTGCTACCTGCGTGGGATGGAATGAGAAGAGGCTCCGATACAGGGATGAGCCACACCCTCCCAAAATATAATTGCAAGTTCACATAGTGAAATCAGCTACACATACATACTCACACTCTTCCACCCTACCACACACACAGACACAATAGACAACAAAACCGTTCTTTAGAGGGACTTTCTAAATGACATTGCCCTGCATGCTCAACTCTACTGAAAAGAGTTCATAACACAAAATTTTGGGGTGCAGAGGATGCCTAGACTGATGAGTGTAACACTGAGAGATGAAGAGGGGAGCCTCTGGGAACCATTAAAGACCTGATTTAAAAAAAAAAAAAAAGACCTGATAGATGAGAGTCACTTTGGGATCAGATTTGGCCTTGGGAAAGAGCCCTGTTTGAGGTCTCCATTCTCCTTGGTACAGAACAGATCCAAGGGGGGTGGAGGAGGGCACATGAGGAGAGAGGCCTCCACAGGCCCCAGGGATTTCTTAGCTGTAGATTCATCACAGCTGGAAGGCATCTCATTTTACAGATGAGGACCCAAGATCAAAGAGATTCCACAATTAATAATTATTAAATTGGAAATATACTACACCTTACAAAGCAGCAGAAACAGTTGTATATTTTGTGTGCATACACCAAAGTGTTTGTGCAGTTGTTTCTATTGTAGAAGTATGAGCGGAGATTTATATTTTCATTTATAACCTATATATTCTCCTCTTGGCAGCCTGAGAGACTTTCCTGAAGCACAAAGCTGATAAAGTTACTTCCTTTAATGGAATGCCCTCTGCTCTCAGAAGGAGATTCATATTTCCTATTATGGCTTCTAGAAGACGGAGTTTTAAGACAAGGCAAAGGTCAGAAATCTAAGAGAAGCGCCCCAAGAAAAGTTGGGACCTCCAAAGACTAAACCTTTAGTGTATTCCTCATTAGTGAGAAAGAAACCACCAAGAAATTGCTTGATCAAGCTTGACTTTTATCTTTTGTAAGGGCATCCGATATTCCCTGCTGTTGTTATTGACAAGCCAAGAGCAGAGGTGTAGTTTTTTTTTTAATTTTTATTTATTTATGATAGAGAGAGAGAGAGGGAGAGGCAGAGACACAGGCAGAGGGAGAAGCAGGCTCCATGCACCGGGAGCCCGATGTGGGATTTGATCCCGGGTCTCCAGGATCGCGCCCTGGGCCAAAGGCAGGCGCCAAACCGCTGCGCCACGCAGGGATCCCCAGAGGTGTAGTTTTATTACACAAAACTATAGTATTAGCGCGTACAAGAACTAAGAAGGGAAACTAGAAACACTGGTTGCTAATGGGGAATGAGATTAGGAAAGACTTCACATTTCACTTTCTACACCCCAGCGTCATTTGAAATAAAATGAATGTGCATACAGTGCTTCCGTGATTAAATTTAAAAAGATCCAGTGAGCCAGGCCATGCAGGGCCTTGAATGCCAAGCAAACAATTCTGAAGCTATGGGAGGGAGCTCATGCTGCTTGGTGGCTGGTTTACTGCCTAGACACAGAGGGCAGCAAAAGGCTCCAGGACAGCCGTTCCTCACAAGGAGGGGGGCCGGCTGGGGTAGACCGTAGAGAGGCTGAGATAAGGGGTTGGAGTCACCGCAAATGAGAAACATCTCGTGAAGTTTCTTGTCTGTCACGTCTCCAGGATCTCATGTGCCAGTGCATTTTGGGGACAGGAAATCACAGGGGTTGGCCAACATCTTGATAAGCCTCGGGCGGTCACCAGATTACACACTTGCTGCTGCAGACCCCTTGCCTTCCAGAGGGTAGAGAAGCATTCTCTGCTGTTCCTCAGCTCTCAGGAAAGCTTTTCCTTCGCTATTCTCTACCTCCAGCAAGAAGAATGGTGCTCAGGTAAGAGTTTCTTTCAAAGGCAGTTTTGATTCCTTCCTCTTAGTCCACAGACTTGTGAATTCATCTTAAGGTAGGGCATGCAGGAAGCCAGGGCCACCCCACCGCAAATCAAGAGGCACGAAGCTCCCTCATGGGAGTCTTTGGGTGCTGGGAACTTGGGCTGTGGGAGAGCCAAACAGGGTCCACCAGGCTCTCTTGGCTTCTTTCCTATCTCCGTATACTCTCTTTCTCTCCAAACTTCAAATCCGCAACTATGGAGAGATGTATGTTGCTAATCCTAATTTAGAGAGCAAGATGGCATCTTGGCAAGACATTCCAAAGCTAAATTGTTTTAATAATATCAGGATCCACAAATTTGCTTGCTATCCAAAGGAGGTTTTTTTCCCTTTGTATCCTTGTATGTGACATTGTCCAAGCAGAATCTATAGGGCACAGTCTAATGGGATAATTGAGGAGAGTAATGAAAGGACTGGTTACACAGGTATGGGCAGAGCTAAGGGAAATCTGTAGAGGGTGCTTACTGAAGACCCCAGGGACACAGCCTGAAGGGTGAAGGGGAAGAAGTTACCAGAACTCCGGAGGGCTGTGGCTGTAGGTGTAGTTGGAGCTGTGGCTCTAGGAAAGGCCATTAGACCAGGGTGAAGCCCTTAAGCAGAGTAACACCTCCACTGCTAACTCACAGCCTGGCAGAGAGAAAAAGCTAGAAAGCCACAAACCCCCAGTCGCCCTCCTCCTGCCCTCCAGCTCTGGTCTGTGTCTCCCTTTGGCTGAAAGCAACTGAGCCAGAGAGAGAGGGAGCCCCTGGATGAGGACTCTGAGGACGCAGAGGAGGGTAAGAAGATGGAAATGAGATTTGATGGAGAAATGGACAAAATCCATTTCTCTCTCTCTTTTTAAGATTTTATTTATTTATTTGAGAGAGAGAGAAAGAGAGAGGAGTCGGGGGAAGCATAGAGGGAGAAGCAGACTCCCTGCTGAGCAGAGAGCCCTACTCGGGGTTCCAACCGAGAACCCTAAGATCACAGCCTGAGCCAAAGGCAGACACTTAATCGACTGAGCTACCTCGGTATCCCAAAATCTCTCTCTTCTTATGCCCTCCTCATAGTTGGGATTTTCCGGGATTTTCTCTGTGTATTTGGATCAATTTCTCATGGTACTCCTCAGGAAGTTCATTTGACCCTCCGCAGGGATCTGGTGTCACTTCAGAATAATCTCTCATTATCTCATAAATGCCTTGAGAATGGGGGGGCCCAGGTGGCTCAGTTAGTTAAGTGTCTGCCTCCCCTCAGGTCATAATCCCAAGGTCCTGGGATAGAGCCCTGCTTCAGGCTCCCTGCTCAGTAGGGAGTCTGCTTCTCCCTCTGCCCCTCCCCTCTGCTGGTGCTCCCTCTCTCTCTCTCTCTCAAATAAATAAATAAATAAATAAATAAATAAATAAATGCCTTGAGAATGGAACATAGTTTTGTGAAGGGTTTTTTGTTTGTTTTTTAAAGGTGGGGTACATAAATATTTTATAAGTATCTTAAGTTTGTGATTTTTGACTGCTCTAGGAAGAAATCCATTGTAAGAGTGACTTAGAGTGTCTCCCCTGCAACAGAGCAGGGCACTGGGGACACACTAACGGACAGGAGGAAAGTATTTCCTGTCCTCATAAAGCTGACATGCTGGGCCATTTCTGGCCAAGAGGTTTGGCCATACTCATACCTGTCATTGCAAAAGGTCACATTCTCTTCATAACCCTAACTCATGATCTCCTTTCCAGTGGATGGACCACCTTCAGTCACTGAGATTGTCCATAGGTCTTGGCCTGGGTCTTCCAACTTTCTGGCCCCTAAAAGGAAAAGCTCAGTCCCAGGCAGAATGAATGTGGAGCTCAGAGTCCCGTCGTCACCACACATAACCTGTCCAGACTTTTCTCCTCCTGCCTCCTGCAGATCTGACGTGGTCTGGGAGATTAAGAAGTGTTTGAACCCTAGAATATCCCCATGTCAGTAGAAGGTCTGACTCCAAGTTCCAGAACTCCAAAGCAGTGTGGTGTTCAGCAAGTATCTTAGTCTCTGCAAGCCTCCTTTTCCCTCCTCTGTAACGTGGACACGGTAATCCCCCACGTGGCAGGGTGGCCCTGAGAATCAGTGAGCACACAGCAGGTGCTCAAGTCTCTTTTGTGTTCCCAGGAATACCAGTGGGGGGTTTCTGAGCATCGATCCCACGGGCCCAGCCTGGGAGAGCACCTTCACGCCAAGGAATGCAAGTGACCAGCCCTTTCTGCAAACCCCCAACGTGCAGACCGTGATCATGGCCTCGCTGAGCCTCACATTTGCCCTAGGTGGGCTGGCAGGAAACATGATCGTGCTCTGGTTCCTGGGCTTCCGCATGCGGAGGAACGCCTTCTCCGTCTACATCCTCAACCTGGCAGGAGCCGACTTCCTCTACCTCTTCTTCCAGACGGTATATTCCCTGGAGCAACTCGTCACCTTCCACTCCACGCCCCTCAAGATCCCCAGCTTCTTCACCACCGTGTGGACCTTCGCCTACATCGCGAGCCTGAGCATTCTCAGTGCCATTAGCCTGGAGCGCTGCCTGTCGGCCCTGTGTCCCATCTGGTACCGCTGCCACCGCCCAAAACACACGTCAGCTGTGATGTGCGCCCTGCTCTGGGCCCTGTCTCTGCTGCTCAGCATCCTGGAGGGGCTGTACTGTGGCTTCCTGTTTCTGGATTTGGACCATGGTTGGTGTCGGGCATTTGACTTCATCACCGCCACCTGGCTCATCTTCTTATTTGTGCTTCTCTCTGGCTCCAGCCTGGCCCTGCTGACCAGACTGCTGTGCGGCTCCCAGCGGGTGCCACTGACCAGGCTGTACATGACCGTGGTCCTTACGGTACTGGCCTTCCTCCTCTGCGGCCTGCCCTTTGGCATTCACTGGTTCCTCTTATTTTGGATTCAGACGAGGTCTCATGTCATCCTCCAGCATCTTTATCTGGTTGCGCTTGTCCTGTCCTGTGTCAACAGCTGTGCCAACCCCATCATTTACTTCTTCGTTGGCTCCTTTAGACAGCGGTGGCCACGGCGACAGAAGACCCTCAAGATGGTCCTCCAGCGGGCTCTGCAGGACGTAACCGGAGGGGATGACAGTGAAGTCAGCAGCCCTCAGGAACATCTGGAGATGTCGGGAAACAGTCTGGTATTCTGACTCAGAGCCGCCTCCGTCGGATAAATGGTGGCTTTGAGAGCCAACTTTCTCCCCATCAGTTTGGGGGGTTTTCTTGACTTCTCTCAGCCTCTGGGCACCCCGATCTTAAGACCTTAAGGTTTTCAGATATAGCTTAAGTTTGAGATAACGATCCTCCGCATGAGGACTGGGACAGCACCCGTCAAGCAGGCACTGAGTGCAGCGGCTCAAGGACCGCCTGGACCAGGGCCTTCACACCATCCCAAGCTTTGTCAACTCTGGGGTCCCCTTCTGAAGAATCCCACCTTCAGCGGAAGCTGAAAGCAGTGCAGGAAAGGTCTAAATTTATTTGGTCACTGCACTCAGGACAGACTAGGAGAACATTCCATCACAAGTGTCTGTGGTCACCCTCCCGTCATCTGTCTCCATAAAATTAAAAGAATTAAAGTGCAGTCTGGCCCCAAAGAGTAATCTTCTTTGATTTGGGAAGGCCCTAGAATATCTCCCTAGTTTAATGAATGCTTACTGAATAAATGACTTAATGCATGAATAAATGATGGATTTTTAAACCAAGCCTGTGCTAAACATCCATTTACCAGATTTGAGTCACCGTCTGTTTCTTCCTTGCACCATTTCCAGTTTGTGCAAGAACAAAGCTGAGTTATGCACCCGGACAAATCGATGTCAAAGCGCACTTAAGGTTTGAAGTAGGTTGTCTTGCTGTGACTTCTTGTCCCACGCCCTCCAGGGGTACCCCATGTGCATGCTTTCTCATTCCTGCCCCCTGAGCCTTTGCCCCAGCTCTCCCTCTCTGTAGCTCTTTGACCCATCATGGCACATTTCCAATGGGCCTTCCTAGACTCTGTGTTCCCCGAGGACAGGATCTTCGTCAGATTTACCTCTTGCTCCACAGCGCTTGCAATATTTATTTTGTGAATTTGATTATGGAAAAATCTTTCTAAAGTGACATGTTCTGTAAAAAGAATATGTAAAGTTTACGTGTTGCCTCGTCTAATAATTTTTTAGTCCTTTAACTGAGGGACAGTGGGGAGAGAGTGATGGCACAGATCGGAAGTGTACAGTGCAGCGAGTCCTGGCAATGAATCGAATTTGAATGAAATGAATTTGAGTCACCCATGTGACTCAAACCCCAAGCAAAACACAGCACAGTTTGTATCACCTCTGAAAGTTTTCTCATGTCCCTCTCAGACATTCCTTCTGTCCGAGGGGCAATTAAAATTCCTACTTCTATCCCCAAAGATTAGTTTTTCCTGGCCTTTGATTTCATATACTTAGGGTCGCTCAATGTACTCTTGTGTTCCTACCTGGTGTCACTCAGCATAATATTTTTAGGACTCACCCAGGCCACGGCATTGCATACTATCAGGAGTTTGTCCTTTTGATGAAGCTGAGTACTATTTCCACTGTACGGGTGGACCACTGTTCACTTTCATATTGACAGATGTCTGTGTAGTATTTCGTTACTGGTTATTTTGAATAAAGCTACTGTGACCATTCTTATTCAAATCCTTTTCTGGATACATGTTTTTATTTCTCTCGGATAAATCACCTGAAGTGGTATTGCCGAGTCACAGAAAGATGTGTGCTTGACTCTGAGAAATTCTTAAGCTCTTTTCTAAAGTGACTGTGCTATTGCACATCCCCCCAGCCATGTCTGAAAGTACCAGTTGCTCCAAATCCTTCCTAACAAACATTGCCAGTCCTTTGAATTTTAGTCATTCTAATGAGTATAAAGTGGTAGCTCATTGTGTTTTAATTTGCATTTCCAAAGTGTCTTATGAAATTGGCATCTTTCCATGTGCTTGTTGGCTACTTGTATTTTTTTTTGAAGTGTCTAAATTTTGCCCACTTTTATTAAGTGTTTCCTTTTTTTTAAAGTGTTTCCCTTTTTTGTTATTGATTTGTAGGAGTTTTTATTTGTGCCGAATGAGTCTTTCCTTAATTATGTGTGTTATAAATATTCACCCGGTTGGTGGCTTGCCTATTCATTTTTAATGAATCTTGTATTTTAGAGCACTTTCAGATTTATGGAAAATTTTCACAGAAAGTACAGAGGGTTCCCATATACTCCCTCTCCCCATACCCCCCACACACACACAGTTTCTCCTATCACTAGAACCTTCCATTAATTTGGCACACTTATTAAAATTGACGCATCAATACAGATACATTATTATAAACTGAAGTCCATAGTTGGACTTGGGATTTCTTGTATAGCTCAATAGATTTGACAAATGCACAATATATAGAATCATATAGAGTAGTTTCTCTGCCCCAGAAATGAATTGAATAGGGTTTTTTTTTAAATTTATTATTATTTATTCTGGTTCAGGTTCTCTGAGCTTCCCGAATCTGTGATTTGGTGCCTGCAAATAATTTAAAAAGCTCTTGGCCACTATTATTTCAAATACATCTTCCATTCCTTTCTTTCTCCTCTTTCTGAGATCCCTATGCTATATATCCTATACCTTTTGTCATCATCCCATAGCTCTCAAACACTCCTTTCCATGTTTTGTCTTTCCTTCTCTTTGCTTTTCAGTTTGGGAAGTTCTAGTAACTTATCTTGAGGCTCACTGATTCTTTGAAAAACTGTAGCTAGTCTACTGATGAGAACATCAAGGGCATTCTTCACTTATGTTTTTCATTCTTCACAATGTTTTTATCTTTAGCATTTCCTTTTTCTTAGACTCTCCATCTTTCTGCTTATAATGTTCGTCTGCTCTTGCATATTGCCCACTTTTTCCATTAGATTCCTTAGCATATTAATCACAGTTATTTTAAATTCTCAATCTTATAATTCCAGATTCTTGGCCATGTCCTAAATTCTTTACATCTTATATGAGGAATAGGTTGATCCTGTTGTTAATACTGATAAGTTAAAACACAGAAATATTAGTTTACTATATTATACAAATCTATAATTAATAAAAGATGTGGAAGAAATGTAGAAGAAAAACCTAAATAAATCATTGCTTCTGGAGAATAGGATCCAGGAAATCTTTTATGGTTTATTTGGCACACTTCTATGTCAACTGGAAAGAAAATGTAAATCCACATGTGTCACTAACTATGACAATGAAAAAGTGTGGAATGGGCCATGGAGGGCCTTGAATGACAAGTGAGGAGAGTATGCTTTATTCTTAGTTGTGAAACCTCCTCGCACAGGCTCATATTGCTTGCCATTGCTACCCAGGCACACAGTTCGCAGCAAATGCCACAAAACAACACTCCCTTGTAGGCATGGGCACCGGATGGGCTGGGATGGGCAGAAGTTGAGAGATAGGAGTAGAGTCAGATCAAATGTTGAGAAACATCTCATGAGCGATCATGACTCAGGGAACCCCACACTCTCACTTGCCAGCAGATCCCTGGACAGGAAATCACGAGGGCTGTCTAGCACCTCGATAAGCCTTACTACAGCCCCAGGCTTCACCCCTGCTCCCGTTGGCACCTCTCCACGGCAGAGAAGTGTCCCGTACTGGCAGTCAGTCGCAGGACGCTTTCTCTTCGACACAGATCAGCTTGTTGCCTCCTGCAAAAAGAATGGAGGAAAGGCACCTCGATCAAGTATTTATTTCCAAAACCACTGTTAGGCTTTTCCTCCTAGTTCACATCCATGTAACTCGATCTGGGAGTGAAGTATTCAGAGGCTCCAGCAGGAAAAGACCTTCTGCCACTTTGTGTCCGGGCAGCCTCAACTGTGGAAATCGGAATTAGTACATCCACCTTGTTTCCCCCCTTAGACCCTTGTTCCTTTTGCTCCTCCATCCCAACAATTCAAATTGTGCTGTCATGGTGAGAAATCTGTTGCTTTCCTTAATTTAGGGAGCAAGATTGGGAACATGCACGCATCCCAAAGCTAAAGTGCTGTGAATAACCTAGTCATCTGTTTTACTTGCTTTTTGAAATTTACGTTCCTTTCAGTATCTCTCAGGATGCCAGCAGAAAACAGATGGCTTAAAATGGGATAATTCAGAAGAGTTTAATTAAGGTACACTCTACCAATATGGACAGATTTAGAGAAGATTACATGAGATGGTGACCACCACCCCCTAAGGAAAGTAATAGGAGGAGCCTTAAAATCACTAGGCTTGAAAGACAAGGGGATCAGAACTCAAGACAAGTTACCAGAACTCGGGAGGGCTGTGGCTGTAGGTGTAGTTGGAGCTGTGGCTCTAGGAAAGGCCATTAGACCAGGGTGAAGCCCTTAGGCAGAGTAACACCTCCACTGTTAACTCACAGCCTGGCAGAGAGAAAAAGCTAGAAAGCCACAAACCCCCAGTCGGCCTCCTCCTGCCCTCCAGCTCTGGTCTGTGTCTCCCTTTGGCTGAAAGCAACACTGAGCCAGAGAGAGAGGGAGCCCCTGGATGAGGACTCTGAGGACGCAGAGGAGGGTAAGAAGATGGAAATGAGATTTGATGGCAAATGAAGAAAATCCATCTCTTCTAATAGCCTCCTCACAGTTGGCATTTCCTGGGACTTTCTCTCTGTGTGTGATTGGATCAATTCCTCATGGTACTCCTCAGAGTTTGATTGTCTAATGTCACTTCTTGGGAATAATCTCTCTTGGGAATTATCAACATAGATGCCTTGAGAATGGAATGTATTGGCTTTTTTTTTTTAAGAAGATGGGGGTACATAGGTATTTACAAGTGCTTTGACCTTATGATTTTTGTTGCTTTAGAAAGCTACCCATTATAATAGTGACTTAAGCAAGAGAGAAGTTACCAGGACTGAACTGGTGACTTCACGGCATCAGACACAGGGTGTTCCACACTTAATGCTACACATTCCTGGAGGTGGCTCTACATGGCTCTTGGACATTTTGGTTTTCCACCCAGAGGTGAGAAAAAGGAAAGACACAACCCAGGAATTGGTGACATTGCTTCTGCTCACTTCCCATTGGCCAACGCCAAGTTCCATGGTGCCATCCAGCATTAAGGTGGGCTGGGATTAGGATCCTTTTTCTAGTCTAAAACTCACAGAATTCTTATGTGAGA